CATAGATTATTGAATTTATAAATTTACAATAAATTCACTTACTTATAGAAGACTTTTCAATATATTTTTTATGATATCTAAAATTCTTTTTCACTTCACAGGGGCAGCTACTGCAACTAAAAATATGCTTAAGTTGTCTAGTGGCATTTGGGAATGTCGACTAAGAACATATTTTGTTATTTTGTTAACATATTATTGCATATTTTTTTTTTTAATGATTTATTTCCTTCTTTTAATTGCTCATCACGGAAACATTTTTGAATATCATGCTTTTTTTTCCCAATATTATCTATCTATTAAGTTATAAATTATAATTAATAATAAATAAATTGTACAGAAATATTAGTAGGTTTTTATTTAAATTGTATGGCCATATACCAAGTTAAAAGTTAATATCCTAATAACTAATAAGTAGGGCTAGGGACTTTATGCCCTTAAAAACCTTAAAATATGTATTTAAAAAAACTATATTTGTAATAATTAATTAAATAAAAAAATTTAACTAGTAATAAATTATAATAATATTTTTATATATGATAGATATGATGATCTGAGATAATTTTTTCTTTTTTTCAAATTTTTTTTCATCTTATATTGAATTTTTATCTAAAACAAAATATTTAAAATGGTTTTAAAAATAAATTAAATTGAAAACATTTTTTTTATTTTTAATATAGTTATAATTCTTCTAACCTTGAGCATTACATTGGACTATAAGATATTTTCTTAAGTTGGAAAATTTAAATGACTGTCTGTTATCAGCCAAAATAATTTTATATTTAGAAAAGGAACGTTACACGCCTACGGAACTTATTAGTGCAAACTTAAAAAATCGTAGGTCACTACTACTAATATCTGCAGGCAATCTATCCATAGATTCATTTTTCCATTTAAAATGTTCGAAATTTTTTATAGTTAGCCTTAGCTTGTGCAAATTCTTTAATTTTTGCAGAATGTATACGTTTTTTATAGTTTTAATTATTTTAATGCATTCAATTAGTGTACCAATAAGACACCTTGAGTTCCAAGTCACGTGATATATAAAGAAATAAATCATAATTTTTTTTTATAAAATTTAAAAACTTACTCCTTCATATGAATAATTGTCAAATATGCATTTATAAAATGAAAAATGGTCAAATATGCACTTATAAACGAAAAATGGTCAAATATGCAAAATATGCAACTATAAATTTTAAATATAAACTTGTATTGCTTTGAAACAAATTTAAATATTACTTAGCTATATTTTTGATAATTATTTAAAAACATGCAAGTTCCTAGAAGTCCCGAGCCCTAGTAATTATAAATACATTTCTTCGTACCTACAATTAAAGTTTAGCGGACTGATAAAATTGCATCATGAGATTTTGACACCGATTGTTTACAGAATTATTGAGGTAAACGTTCAAATTTAATTACGAAAATAAATCAAGTATTGTATGGAGTAAATAATTATATTTATAGGATTCAAACGATTATATTCTTATTGAATACATCCATGTAGTGAAGTATGTTCTTCGCTTGGAATAAATATAGACTTAATATAAATAAATATTGACTTATATTGTTCTGCTTTGGGTTTACTTGATCTTAATTTAATTATTTAAAAATTAGTGTTGGCGAAATTAAAGTAGTATTTCACCGTTATTATAATATTATTAGCGTCTCCCCTAGCAGTGATATTAAAGTACTAATAAGTTCTGAGTGCAATAGTTTGTTATCTAACATTTGATCGAATTCAATGCGATGAACCGGATATTGATTTTACGCATTCTAAAACCGTAGAAAGAACGAATTTCAGTTTATGACTCTGTTGAGATTAAACGCGTATAGTGTAGTACACTGTTTCCTTTTTGGCCACTTGGAAATATCGAAGAAGTTTTTAAGAAACGTTAAAATGGAGATTTAGTGTGATCGAAAACTAATAATTTAAAAAGCTTTTGAAAAAAAACACAAGAGATACGAGCTGATTTCACACGAAGAAATTAAAAATAATCTGTAAGGTATTCGGGGTAGGTATTGGTGGTGTTGCCATAAAATTACGTAATATTATGAAAATCAAACCTAGAATCGCCTGAGATCGGATTTATTGCAAACCGGTAAAATAAATTGTTAAGATGAAAATGTACCGATCGATGTGTCAGTTTGGCAAATCAAATTCCAAACAGTTGGCCGTTGGAATGTTGGATAAGTTGACGTATCGGGTAGACGTGTTGAACAATTATTTACAAACCATCGAAGTAGGTAATGGCGAATACGTATAAATATTCAATCGGAGTTATTTCAACTTAAAAGTATACAACCATACAAGCTGAATTTTTATTACGCTAAGTTTCAGCGACACAGATTGACTTAATATAATTTCATGTGTTCATGCATTAGATTTTTTTTTGTAAATACTCATTGAACGAAAAAAAAAGAGTAATCATTTTATTATGTATTGAATTTACAAACTGGCACATTTCCCAATACAAATGTTCAATGCAAACATTTTCATATTCTGGGCGAAGCCTTGGATGTGTATTAGTTTTACTAAAATTTAGGTTAACTTCACTGGTATGCGTACACAAATGACGTAGTATCCACAAACGTTGTCAATAACGCGCCGCAAACAATTCATAGCCAACGATTTATTTAGTCAATGTCTGAGTGAATTCATTGTGAGATGAGAAAATGAAACACGTCGGTTTCGATTCGAATGATTGAGTTTAAATTTAATAATATATGTCAAACAAAATAATGTGATTGGGTATGAACGTTTATAAGATTTACAGATAAAAATGTATTTTCTTTTCATTTATTTGTCTATAAAAATGCATTTGTTTGCATTTGCATATTTGTATTACTATAATGTTAAGTTTTAAATTACAACTTCGAAATTTTTTTTAGAATTAAATTTTTTTGCACAAGGACATGGGGAATTCGTTGGAAAATTCCTTGTACATAAATTACCTCACATTTATTTTTCCTAAAAATACTGGTCGTATTTCCATATTACCTTATAACCTTTTCGGGTCTTTTGCATGTATTCAAAATACCTCTAATAGCATATTGATTTCATTTAGCCCATGTCAGTAAGACTAAAGAATTCAAAACTTTTTATCTAAATATATACGAGAACAAATTTATTTTTTTTCTTATTTTGTAAAGTTTGGAATGTTCATACAATGTTCAGTCTAATAGTTATCTTTTAAATAAAATTTTAATTTTAATTAGAAATGTATACAAACATGATATTTATATAACGATGATTTAAAAATCTAAAATATAATTTTTAGTAATTAATTTGACCTCTGGCACTTAAATAACAGTGAATGGTATTTTAGTAGAATATTTTCATTTTTTTTTAATTGTATGTAGAGTGAAGTGAGGTATTTTTGTGGCATAGACAATGTTGTAAAATTATTTGTTGAACGTATAATGGAATTTTTAAGTCAATCGCGTTGTAGGAAATGACATTATACATTCAACAAATAATATCATAAAACAACCTATGCCACGAAAATACCTATATTATTTCGATGTACTTCTATGTTCGATTTAATTTTTAATCGATTGACTTTTTAATAACTGTAAAATAACTATTATAACCTTTATTTCATAAACCTCTTCCCTTTTGCCCGTAACATAATCACCACTACCACGCCTTAGTCCATATGTCTCTTCTATAGGTATCAAATCCATCAACACGTATTTCAAGAGTTCCTTTCTGATATCTAGTTTGTAATACTCCATGTAATAATTTTCCGGGAGCTTTAATTCTACTTTCATCCTGAACACCACCGAATTTTTCGTGTTCCACAGCCATGGCAGTTTAGTCTTCAACACTGAATCTTGTCCGCGGTTGTATACTTTAAGCGTTTTAGTGTCTGCTGCGACAACGACTGTTTGGCAGCTCTGGTCTAAAGTGGCCGAGTTAGTGATGTTTTCACTAAATGGTTGATCGACCACTATACCATTGAACGGTGCGCGTATTAACCGATTATTAGCCTTCGTAAAACACTTTTTGTGCATCACACGATTCCACGCTGTCAAACGTCGACATTTAAAGTTTTGGTTAGAATACAGTATTTTGCTTAACCCCGCGAGTATTTTTTAGAAACTCGATTTTTATAACAAAATCATAACTCTAGCCATAAATGTTTGCCTTAGCGATACATTTAACCATTCTCAGGGTATTAAAAAAAACTTCCTTTTCACACAGCGAATATTGTTGCTTTATATGTCAGCTTTTTTACTTTCAGGTGGCCGAACACAGTGTATATACAACTAGCCTCCATGTTGTTCATAGTTTTTTAATATATCTTTTACAACATATCAAATATATAATCAATAAGATATACTCTAGGTATATTTGAAATGAATAACTTGCAAAATTAATAAATTAATTCGTAATGCGGAAGACAAAATTAACGAAATCGACGACAAATGTAGGAATAATTTTATTATTGATGTATAAACAACTGTTTCTAATTGTAACTAAGATAAACGTTGGTTGATTTTTTGAGATTGCCTATGATTGACTTCTTCATCTTCGTAGTTGACGACCTTTAAGACTAAACTGACAAACATATGTCATGTCATCTCTCTCTATCCTCCGCTAGGACTCTCCAATCACCATTCGGTTCAACCCGCTCCACATCTTTTGACACCTGGTCTTCCCACCTCAAATTTGGTCTACCAAGTGGTCTTACCCCTTCTGGAGAGCCACATAGTACCTTGTGTATAAGGGCTCTTTCTTTTCACCATATGTGACCAGCCAAAAGGAGTCACCTCTTTCTTATATCGTTGACTATAATTGGTTTCTGATATAGCTCCTTGATTTCCATATTATGTCTGTTTTCGATCGGGTAGAACACTTGACTGGTCACCTCATACTTAAAATCCAACAAATGATCATAACAAGGTTTGTTATTAATCCAAAGTAATTGTATAATAATTCATCATAATTCAACACATTGGACATAAGATCGGGCACCCGGAATAATAATAGTAATTATAATAATAATAATACAGAAAATATGATAATAATATAAACATAAATACAAGATATAAAATGTAATACAGCCAATCACGGTAGTGTACTCAATCCCATCGAAGACAGTGCAGCCAGCTTCCTGCTGCCGAGAGCGGGCAGGCACTCCACGAACAACGATATATCGTACGAACAGCGACGCCGTGACGATGGTGCAAAACACGCCCGGCGGTACAACACACGATGGTGATATTAAAACTTCGCAAAAATGTATGGCGGCCAGAGTACGACACGCACGAGATAAAGCGCACAACGACATCGCAAAATCACGCGGAAGGTAGAAAAACGGCGTGAATCAACAAAGGCGCACCAGCGTGAACGAAACAAAGTAAAACAGCACACACGTCACGATAGATCGACGATATGCCGGCGTCGGAGGCGAACATATGTAATACGAACATAAGTAATATTAATAAAATTAGGTAAAGTAACTATTATAAGCTTTGTTTCATAAACCTCTTCCCTTTTCCGATCCGATCACCGTTGCCACGCCTTAGTCCATATGTTTCTTCTATTGGCATCATATCCATCAACATATCGTTCCACAGTTCTTTTCTGATGTCTAGTTTGTAATACTCCACGTAATACTTTCCCGGGAGTTTTAATTCAACTTTCATCCTGAACACCGCCGAATTGTTCGTATTCCACAGCCACGACAGTTTAGTTATCAACACTGGATCTTGTCCGCGGTTGCCTACCTTATGAGTTGGAGCGACAACGATTGTTTGGCCACTTTGGTCCAGAGTGGCCAAGGTAGTGGTGTTTTTATTGAGTGGTTGATTGACCACTATACCACCGGACGGTGCGCGTACTAACCGATTTTTAGCCTTCGTAAAACACTTTTTGTGCATCACACGATTGCACGCTGTCAAACGTAGAAATTTCAAGTTATGGTTAGAATAGTGTATTTTGCTTAACTCCGCGAATAATTTTTAGAAAATTTTGATATTTATAACAAAATCTTAAGTCTAGTCATACGTTTCTATCTTACCGATGCACTTAACCATTCTCAGGGCATTAAAAAAAACTTTCTTTTCACACAGTGAACATTTCTTCGTCGTATACATCAGCTTCTTTACTTTCAGGTGACCAACTACAGTGCATATACAACTTGCCTCCATGTTGTTCATCGTTTTTTTTGATCTATCTTCTACAAAAAATTTAATATATAAACAATAAGATATACTCACAAAATTAGTTCGTAATAAGGAAGACAAAATGAACGAAATCCACGTCAAATGAAAGAATAATTTTGATATCAAAATATCAACAACTGTCTCCAGTGGTAACCACGAAAAACGTTAGTTGACTTTTTGAGATTGCCTATGACAACTATTGTGTACTGAATATCCATATTCCATATTATATTTAATAACATCTGTTTTTTAAAATGTTATTTACTAAGTTGAACCTAAAATACATTTCAAACACAGCGTACTCTTCTTATCTTTTACATTTTATTCAGTGATGATCGGAACAATTATTCTGGTTGAAATCGTGTACACGATTTAAAAAGAAGACTCATGACACTAGCAATATCTACATTCCTCGTTTTACTCAGAATCTAAAAATAATGATATAATACTAGAGATAGAAATTCCATTTACAATTCCATTCTGTCATTTAGACAGTAGTAATATGAAAATGTAATACAATTATTTCTCGATTAAAAAAATTTCTAAACGGTCTTAATTTTATATACAACACATTTATAAGCAATTTAAATTTTTAAATTCAGCCAAGTATGCTGTCCGACGAAGCTAAGAATAATCAATTAACACTATTACTGATTAATGAAAAAAAATCTTGATAACAATGTGTAAACGTGTACCATAACCAAAACAATTTCAAATAAGCTAGAATTATTTGAACTATGGTTGTACAGAAGAATTCTTAGTATAGCGTGGACTGAAAAAATCACCAATATTTAGATATTGCGTAGAAAGACAAAAGAAAAGAACTAATTATAAAAGTTAAATGTAAGATACTCCAGAACTAAGAACATATTAAAAAGAACAAGTACAGATTTAATCTTCTCCAACGTATACTACATTGAAAAACATATGGTGAAAGTTCACCTAGTAGAAAAACATTGCGGCTTGCCGATATCAGAAAGTGGTTTGATAAAAATTTGGTGGAATTATTCCGAAGTAATGTTAACAAAACTTGTGTATCACTGGTGATCGCCAACATTCGAAACGAATCAATATATTAAGTATAATAATAATAATAAGAAGAAGGTTATAAGATTTTTTTAATATTTTATTTTAAGATAAAATAAAAAATATTATTATTAATTATTGTTGGGAACCCGTTCAAAATCTTTCGCGCATCAGCGCAAATGAGACGTATCAGCGAGTACCCGCCATCGCGATGATGAGCTCGAACTAGCAGTGTTACGCCCCATCGACAATGTCAGATTTAGTGAGGGCGCAGGAGGTGCAATGCACCGGGGCCTCAAAATCAAGATTGTTTTTAGGGGCTTCAGATTGAAATCCTTAAAATTCTAACTTTGAAAACTACAAATTTATATAGAAAAATATATTAATAATAGTCAAGAAAAAAAGTAATTTAAAAAATTACCCATAGGCTGTAACCGTCTATTTTCGAGTTTTAGACGGTTGCAATTCAAATAATATGATTACACACATATATATATATATATACATATATTATCATTGTTATTGTTTGTTACTCGTAATATTATTATTATGTATTCTGTTTTCGTACTATAATACTCTATGCACATTTTCGTCAAAAAACATTGCGGTCTCTCACATGTTATACCAGTGCTTCTCAATGGAGGCGATATCGCCCGCGGTTGATGGTGAAGGATTACCGAGGGGCAGTGAGCTCGTTTTGGGCAATAAGGGGGAGGTAAACTTATTTTCTGTTCAAAGCAACGCACCAAGATTTATCTGTAATTCTTTCCCGTTTATAGATTTCTAAAATAAATTCGTGATTATAAAATATAAGCTACATACTCGTATACCAGAGGCAGTGTATTATTATCTAATAATGAAAAAAAGAAATCGACTCGACATCGTCAAAAGAGGAGACTTACACCTTCATCCCACAAACTTTAAACCAAACGTAAAAAAATTGGTTTTGAATAACCAAGCACAACCATCTCACTGATCAATACATTTCGAAACATTTAAATTATGCTTTTAAATTATATATAAATATAAATTTTACATTTTATTTTTGTTATATTTACATTTATTTATTTATATATATATAATTTATTATTCAATTATAAACATTTCATATATATTATTTTAATTTTAATTTTAATGAAGTGAAGGAGGGCGTTGAAAAACATTTTGCTTCTTAGGAGGAGCGGCGATTTAAAAAAGGTTGGGAAGCACAGTGCTAGATGAACTGATAATCATAACGAATCTTGATTTTTAACGAAATTAATTTGTTACATTGTTTTATTTTATAAAGTTAGTATTGTTTTTAGCTAGTGTCTTACACAGTAGTTTATAGTTTTTGTTTTATGCTTAAGCTTTACTATTATTTTTTAAAAACATTGAAATTAAATATTTTGAATTAAATCTCCTCAATGTTTATCAAAATAAAACATAATTGTAAATTTAAACTTTTCTTTGTATGAATTTTATAAAAAATAAAAGTGTATTTAGTATTATTTCTATTAAACTACTATAAAATAGAAAAAATAAATACTGATTTCATATTTAAAGTTTAGTATATAGTTTGGCACAATGCTTGGGAAAAATCTAGGTATGTATAAATGTAACTCCATTGTTTCATTATTATGCCACACTTAATTTTGGAAAAATTTTGTAGAGGTCACTTTTTTAGCGAAAGCTAAACTAAAAATTGACCTTCCTAATTTTTTCCAGGTATTATAAAATGCATCTATGATTAGGGACCCGAAAAATTAGCTGCACCCCTGTGCTTAAATACATTGATACGCTACTGCCCGTCGGCAACCGGCTTCTCTGAAAAGACCGACCGTTACCATCGCGACACACTCACAGCCCGGCGTATCCAGCCGCCAACGGCCACTTTACCGTTTGCATGAATCCGGCTTTCGACGTTCGTTATTTTGTCGTCACCTTGTCAATTGTTGTGCATGATCGTGAATAAGGCTACCTGCACCTCCATCACGTGGTTTTTTTTTCATACACGCAACATCACCGACCAATCTCTGTATGCGTTCGGTCGCTAGTGATTTTGTTACCGTTCGATGCTTTTTTGTTGTGCGACAATTAAAAGTTGAATCTACTGTATTAAAATAACTTTAAAAATTAAATTTATCTGATTGTTTGAACCTTACCTTTTATTGTAAATAGAAATTGAAATATGTAGCTGTTGGCATATCAGAAGTGGTAAATGAAAAATTAATCCTTGATGTCAAATAAGGTAATAATAAATTCAAAATTACTCGTATATATGTTATTTTAGGTAAAAAATCAATAAAAAAATATATATATGTTAAAATATTCATGATCAAAAATAAATAAATGACAATAAATGACTTAACAGCTTAAACAGTGAAAATACGTTCTATCAATGGTTGCATTTACAATGAAAATCGATAGTAGGTGAAAAATACCCAAAAATTCAATAGAAAAAATCATTAAATAGAGAAAATATATTGATTACTAAAACAAGAATAGACAACTATTTATGACTTTTTAAGTCAGATAAATTTTTATAGAATGAGGATTAGGTGTATTCTTAATAAAAATGGGAGGGGTTAGAACCCCCCCCCCCTATGCACACGGGCCTAATATTAACATTAACATCAATCAACACTAAGTGAATTCTACTAAATACTAAGTTCCAACTAAGCATATGAAAAAAGAAATATAATGAAAAAATGCTTTAATTTTTAAATAAAATATATTTGATACGTTTTAACTCAACATGTCTTTATTAAATTTGAATTCAGATTCCTTTACATTTTTTTAACATAATTTGTTTTTAATAATGGTTCTTTTGTTAAAAAAAACTCAAGCACTAATTTTTTATATTTTTGTTCAAATTCTTCTGCTGGCACTAAATCCGCGATTTGAATACCCTTCCACTTTATAAGATACATAAGTTGGCCACTCGCATTATTTGCACCAATTATTTTTTCAGGCACTTTTCCAGAATCAATTTTAGACGCACTATTACTTCCCGTATCTTCAACTATAGCATCATTTCCACTATCTTTTTTGCGATCTTTAGATGTATCAGACAAAAATGTACTGCTGTGATTAGAAAAAGATGAAATATGGATATCACACGAAAAAGAACTGCTCTCATCAGATATATCATTTATGATACGTTTGCGTTTCATATTTTTATAATTTTTTCCTCCATTTTTTCCCGTGACTTTGACTTTTGCATCATCTTCATCATCGGCTTGACTTTTTATTGTAGAGTAGTCAGTTTTGTCCAACGTATTTGATTTATAAGTTTTATGTTTACGATTTTTTTTTTTTTTGTGTTTTTTAGATGTTCCAACATCAAGCGAAAATGAACTACTTTCATCAGACGTATCATATGTTTTTTGTTTACGTTGATCACTGGAAGCTTTTTGTTCATCTTCATATTTATCGACTAAATCTTGACAATCAAGATGTTCTTCAGGTTCCCAAGTATTGTAGGAATCAGAATAATCAACCCATTTTAATAAGTAATAAACTTTATCATCAATTATACGTTTATCTAAAATTTTTTCTACATCATATATATATTTTTTAGAAGTTGCTTCGGCAGGAGCAGGACTCATCATTCTAAAACAAAATAATTGATTTTAATAAAAATAGGCTTAATGAATATAATTTGGTTTTAAGATTGACGCATGGAAATAATTTTATAGTTTTAAAAAGCTTGAGAGTACATATTACAATTTAAATTTTGATTTGAAAAAGTCTTAATATGGATAAAAATGTAAAGTAACTAAGCATTAAATATATTTTTTTAGTAAATGGATAAATATGACTCTTAATGTTATTTAATTGGTACAAATCCTACTTATTTTTCATCGAAATAAACATAGTGAAAATTAAGGTACTTTTAATTAAATTAAATTAATTAATTAAAAAATATTAAATTGTTTGAATTAGTAAAATTTACTTTGCATAGGTTGGAAGAAATTTTTTATTTTTTTATTACATTCAAAATTAACAATTTATCTATAAAATTTAAAATATTTATATTCGTCATGAATTTGCTAAATTTTGAAAAGTGCAACAACGGATGCAAAGTATACTTGTTTAACGATTCAATATATTTTTTAAATCGAATCACTAAAAATACCTTACATTGTTATATATTTTACGTCCATAAATAAATTTTGATCTAATTTTTAATTTTTAATAAAATGTGCATGCGTGTGCGTATGGTGTGTGGCGTGCGTAATTTATTTAGCCATTAATTGTTTTCGTTATTGCTAATAAATACATTTTATACAGTTAACTGTATAAATACGTTTTATTGGCAATAATATTATGCAACATGGATAAGCTATAAATGCGTATTTCAAGCATATACGATTTATCGATGAACAATTAGTTGTATGATACGAACGTTGTTCCGAACTAATTTTTAGTTGTAGTACCTATGTAACTAATTATCTAGCTACATAGACGGAAATCCATCGAAGAAGTTGAGGGGGCTACGATATTTTTTAATAATATGTATAAAATTTCAAATTGTGTATACCATTGAAATATCTTAAGGGGGGCTTGGTAAAAATGTGGAGCTATTATCTACAGAATTAAGTAGCATGATAACCACGAATTAGCAAGTTCCGCGAATAATCCGAAATTAGACGAAATATATCGAAAATTAACAAAACAATGCCTTTAACATGTTTTATTAACATTAAATGAATACAACAATAAAAAAAAATAATAAATAAATAAAAAAAACATTATTATTATTATTGATAATATTTATACTATTTTTATCCGTGGAATATTGGATTTTTCCGGACTTTATACACGTTTAATAGAATCTATTGGTGCAAATTATTTTATCGTCAAATACCATGGAGAAACAAAGCTGAGTTTCACCAATCTCACGAAGATAAAATTTTTCGAATATTAATTTTTAACATCAATCCATTAACTCTAACAACAATAATAGGTATTGCAATTTGGAGATTCACGGTCCGGAACATCACCAATGTAATACAACATTTCAGAAAAGATAAACTTTCAATATTTTTCGTTATAGGTAGAAGCTGTTGTAATTAACCAAGATATTTTTCATATAAATTCTTTATTAAATACCAGAATAAAAATTTAAGAACATTTAAAAAACGCACTTTAGTACAATGTATAAATTGTCAAGAATATGGATGCAACTCCAAATTCTACCTCTCACACTCTTTGAATTGTTTTAAATTTCAGGAAACTGCTGTATATTATGATAAAAAATTCAATGAAATTGCTTATTATAATTTAGGAAATTAGATCTTCCTAAAGAACGCAGTCATTTTTTATGTAATCTACATATTAGATTAACTTTTTTTAATCTGAGTTGATATTTTTTCCTTATTAACTTTTAACTTATCGATCTTGTGTTCTCTTAATTTAACTCGAGTTAATATATATATATATATTAAATCAGAAGTGGGATACGAGTGACACGTTACCGGTTATTTGATACGAGTGTTGTATCGGTGCGATTGAGTACCTAGGCGATGAGTTGTTTGATTAGTGGTTAATTGTTGGATTTAGTGTATGAATCCTATTCAGTCTGTGTGAACTTCGTTGAACTACCACGAGGCGTATGAGCGGCCATTGTGACAAACGTAACCTCAAATTATCGTTGAGGTGATATTACCGTGTTCCATGATAAGTTGGACCGATAACATTATCACCTTGTTATTATTGACCAAACGCTTATGATAGCTGATAAAAAGGCCGCCGATGAAATCCGTGCTCCTACGTACAACGAACTAATATCACTCGTTGATAAGTTACGCGCGCATGTAAGAGTATCGATTGAAAATGTACACTTGTTAGACGGACTCTCGAACTTGAAAGAGATGGTTGGTGAAAAGGAAGATTCTGAGGCGGGTAAAACGCACCGGGAAGTTTCGGGTAGTTTCAGATTTGGCGAAAGGTGCCAACCTGATTAAGTGACGGGAGATGCCTGTCGAAGCTGAATATTGGCTGACTGCAGTCAGCGGATTGGTGACTGTTAACATTTGGCCATTCAGTTATACATTGCAATACCTTCGTATGCATATGGAGTTCGCTCCCAATGATTGGTTTATTGGTAGTTCTTTCCGTGATTAGAGTGAATTCGAGCGGAATTTTCAGATAACATTTGTGCGCACGACAAGTATGTCTGACAAGATGGACTTGATGAGGGCACGTAAGCCAGTGAGAGATGAAATTCTAATGGACAACTTTCATTCAAAGATGAGAATGAATTCCTTATTTTTTTAAAAACTGTTTATTAGTAAACAATATTACTATCAACCATAAAAACATAAATACCAAATCTTCCAAATATTTTTGTAAATTTCTTGTGCCATTTTCCATTTCAATTTATATATTTTAACCGATCTTGAATAATAATATACTAAAATGAAATAATCCTTTATTAGCTGTATCTTCTCTAATTAGATTGAATAGAACATCAGGTATCACAAAATACATTTAGTATACATATTACCAGCCCCTATTTTTCATAAAAATGCATATTACATATTTTTTAATGTACAATATGATACAGAGCCCCTCTACCCTACTTTCATATGATTATAATTTTTATTACAATGTCAGTAGTAATTATTAGTTATAGTTCTTTTTTATTAATCAAATTGCACTTAATAATAATTATAATGTGTAATTTGATAACCTAATTACAAGGTTAACTACCAATCTTTTATTATTTTTTAAACTGAAAATATATCTATTTATTTAATGTGGTATATATAATTTATAATGTAATAAATATATTTAAGTCCTCATTAGCTATCTTGCTTTAACTGGCTTCTTGAAAAATATCTTCATGGTAGTCTTATTTATTAGTATTTAGTAGGTACACACTTCCAATTTCGGTCTATACATATTGTGTAGGCGTACACTAAAAAATTGAGGCTGCTTATTACACATTGCATATGCTAGAAATAAATAAGTAATAGCTTGACTAATAAATGTTGATTTGCTGAATCTTTTGTTTTATTCACTTCTTTATATCTACAATGTAACAGTTATGCATTAAGCCTTCAAATTTATGATATAATCTCTCTATTTTCAAAATATTCTAGTTCATCTTCTACTGTTAACAATAATTTTATTTTGTAAAAAAGATTCATCTCATTTTCTTCTTTTAATTTATTTAATCACTATTTAAATAATAATATTTTATCTCTATTAGGTTTTAATTTCACTTAGGTTTACTACGTTACAACATATTTCTGAGACTTTTACTATTTTATGAAGATATTATATTTCTAATTAATAAATATGCTAAATACATACATTTAGCAGGTAAATATTCTAATGTATATTTCTAATCTATATACCTCATTGCGACCAAACATATAATAATGCAATTTTTAACTATTAAGTTTCAGTTAATGATATAGATCAAAAAATCTTATAAAATTGTATTAAATAATAAGCAATTGCAGTGTAGTAAATGTCACAATATATTAGGACTACCTTTTTTAGCATCAAAATGTACTAAAAAAGATTTCTCACTACTTTATTACATTTTTATTCAAATATTTAAGTTTGTTCTCCTATCAAATTCCATAATGCATCATTCTTATTATTTTTAAATCATTTGGTACAAATTGCCTTAAGAAATTCACAATACCTAAAACTTATTGACACTATTTTTATTATTAGAACATTTTTAATTATTTCATACCTAACTGTTATTATCTCTACATTTAGTTTAATATCTTTATAATTTCAAATAAATATAAAAATAAAAAAAATAAATAAAAAAATAAATTTCTGTTTTCTTTAGCTATATTGTAATTTTGTTACATTAAACTTAATATTATAATTTCTATCTCTTACCATTAACTGTATTTTTAATTTCATATTGTCAATTGACACTGTTGCTACCATGATTATATTATAACCTCAATTATTTTTCATTATCATATAATTTCCGAAATATGCTAAACACAGATATAGATAATAAACTAGATTTCCTACTCTTATACACAGACCAGCAGGCTGTGCGACATTGCTTTTTCGCCATATTGGTTATTGGCTATATTTTATCAATTTTTATCGTTGTGATTATACACAGATTTAAATATCATGATTTATGAACTCAGAAATATTTACAGTAATTAACGTAATTAGGGGCGGATCAAGAGGGGGGTAAGGTGGTCATAATACACCCCCAATAATTGGGTTTATTAATTTCTTAGTGGGCCATCTAAGAAAGACTATACGTATTGGTCAATTGTTTTGTAAATAATTATAATTGTGTTAGTTAAAAATTGGACGGGAATTATTGAAAGAATGATATTTCCAATGTGGCTATAGAGTATAATCATTTACAATCTATCTGTTATTAATTTGTACATTTGACCATTTGGGTCGTGTTACTGTATGAGTGAGTAGTAAATTATCGTTATTGATTTTGTTGCACTACCACTGTGTCTATCTATTAATAGCCAACCGAATGTGGTTGTTTTAGTTCTATGGCAATAATAATTTATTAGGTATTGAGGTATTCCCAACATGTTATCTGTTGATTTGACATACCCATAAACCCGTACATAAATACATTGATTACAACCTAT